TTAAAAAAAAACAAATTAACGACAAATTAAAAATTGAAAAAATTAGAAAAAAATCAGCTGTTTAAGAACAGCTGCAAGATGTGAAACATCTTTATCTATTAATTAAAGGAATGAAAATTCAGTGACAAATAAAATTTAAAAATCACTGCTTAATCTAAACAAAACAAATTGAAAATTGAAAAATTGAGAAAAAATAAATTTAAATAAAAAAAGCTAGAATTCTGAAATCAAATAAGTGAAAACTAGAAAAGTAAAAAAAACAAATTCGAAACAAATTAAAAATTGAAAAAATTAAAACACACACACACACAAAGTCAGAAAATACCAGCACAAGTTTCGATGTTTCACATCTGGTGCATAATCAATGAGTGCTTACTCTTAAAATCTTTCCTTCTTATTGAGTTAAGTAGTCACCAGTAAAGCACCAGATGTGAAACATCGAAACTTGTGCTGGTATTTTCTGACTTTGTGTGTGTGTGTGTTTTAATTTTTTCAATTTTTAATTTGTTTCAAATTTGTTTTTTTTACTTTTCTAGTTTTTACTTATTTGATTTCAGAATTCTAGCTTTTTTTATTTAAATTTATTTTTTTCAATTTTTCCATTTTTAATTTGTTTTGTTTAGATTGAGCAGTGATATTTTTTTATATTTCGAAGAAATTTACTCCATCTATGGGTCAAGTCTGTAGCTTGTGGTCAATGTCTTTTTATACCACTGCACATTACGTGCAGGTGTATAGTAGACTGTCTGTTATTTCCCGAACTGCTCCAATCCTCGCTCTCACCCCTTGAAAGCTCATCATTTGGCTCACAATGAAAGAAAATCACTTTCCGACCGCGATTCATTAACTCCGGATAGTGCCACACGCGTCAGCTTTTTTCCCATTTAAATAACATGGGGAAATTTAAAAAAAATGTAAATTGAAGTTTTAAACCACTTTAAATTGCTAAACCTTGGGATTAGCGACGGTTTTTACTTCCTGGTACACCCATCATTAGTAACCAATACTTACGGGGACCCTCCGAAAAGAATTTTGGATTTTGCACACACGATATACTCAAAAAATTAAGAAAAACAGCATGTTGGCGTTGTTTTTCGATATTTTACAGCAAAAATAAGCATGAACGATCATCTTAGATATATTCACATAAAAGTTGAGATCTAGACCTTTAATTTGAGGGTAATAAAACCTATTTACGTGTACGTACACGTTCACTAGGAAAAATAGGAAATAAATGTTTAAGTCCATTTTCCGTACGAAAATGAAAATTATTGAAAAATCCGACGACACCACGTGAAAGCTGAGGAAAAAACGCATAAAAACCATATTTTTAATTATTTTTCTAGTTTAATTACATTGTCATTTGTACGAGTTGCGATTACAGCGAGCCGCGAGTCGCGCGTTTGGGCGGCCGGACGAGAATCGATACCTGATTTTTCAATGAAACTTCAAACGCCTGTAACTTTGGTTCTAATGAACGTAAATGGGTTTTATTACCCTCAAATTGAAGGTCTTGATCTCAACTTTGACGTGAATATATTTAAAATGATCGTTCATGCTTAGTTTTGCTGTAAAATATCGAAAAACCACGCCAACATGCTGTTTTTCTTCATTTTTTGAGGATATCGTGTGTGCAAAATCCAAAATTCTTTTCGTAGGGTTCCCGTAAGTATTGGTTACTCATTATGGGTGTACCAGGAAGTGAAAACCGTCGCTAAACCCAAGGTTTAGCGATTTTAAGTGGTTTAAAACTTCAATTTACATTTTTTTTAAATTTTCCCATGTTATTTAAATGGGAAAAAAGCTGACGCGTGTGGCACTATCTAGAGTTAATTAATCGCGGTCGGACAGTGATTTTCTTTCATTGTGAGCCAAATGATGAACTTTCAAGGGGTGAGAGCGAGGATTGGAGCAATTCGGGAAATAACGGACAGTCTAACGGACAGTCTAATGTACACTGATAAACTGCAGGTCGTTTGGCGGCGGATTTTACTTGTATTTATGCTTATATACATTAAGCGTACGTGAAAATCAATATGTATTAATTCGTTACATCAGATAATAGTTTCATCGCGTAAGTACGGCTATAGCGAGAAGCCGTGTACCGTACGCGTATTTTGTAAGTTGCCGTGTGTACCATGCGGTTCTAAAATATGTGAATGCATATACATGGTACTCATTTAAGTTTCAAACTGTTTTTCATACACCCAAGATACACGACAGTAATAACAATACTAGCAGTAATAACAAAGGATAGCATAAGCAGAGCCTCTGATTCGCTCCGTTATTATTTTTTGATGGAACCGAATCGATTTACATTTATTGTACATAAATAAATAACAAATGTAAATAGCAGCTAATGTAATTGATTAGCTGTTTATTGTTTTTTTTTAATCAGATGTTCAAAATAAAAATTACCTACCTGAACAATTCATTTTTCATTCAATACGAAATATTTGAAGTATGAGCCTTTTGACGGGACGCAACTTGGTGTATTGTCGAGAAATGATCACCCTAGCCGGGGAACATTTCATTTACTTATTATATTTCCTCTTTTATATAAGGAGAAGAATGAGAGAGCTAAATGAGTCGCAACAATTTTTTTTAGCTTCATGAGTCTCAACAATTTTTTAATTTTTTGAGAATCTTACACTTGTAAAATTTTTTTGCCGAGCTTTGCATGAGAGTCGAAAAGTTGTCGCTCGTACAACTTGCTGCGGTAGAGGGTATTAACCCAACTAAGCGACAATGGGACGATGAGCTCCGAAAGTGCGCTCGTTTGCTACACTACTGCACGTAGAGAAAATGTTCAAAGCGACGCAGAAGGACTGGTGAGCCATCGATCTTAGCAGCCTTCCAACGATTCTCGATCGCTACATCAAACACGTACATTTTCTAACCGAGAGCTAATGCAACGAGTAGTCACTTGGCTACAGCTTGACTCTTGGACCTTGCATTGCCAACATCAACATGCAGCATCGTCATCTCCGTTTCTCTTTTTTTCTCATTTGCGTTTTGCTCGGTCGATTAAGTATTTGTTTGATGTTTATGTTTGACCAAGCTAACTATACGAATGAAACCGATGCAAGGAAGACAAGTGTGCATGAGAAGGACTGTTACTTAAAGCTACAATGACATAGCGAAGTGAAGAGAAATGAGAACTCCCGCTTCTCTAAATCGCTCACTAGTTTGGTAATGATCCCGAGGCCTCCTACATCATTTTGGCCGCTCTCGCATTCTGGCTTGAATTGACGTATGGTCGCGTGGCATGATTAGATCGCTCAATTTCTAACTTGCTATGAAAGTAACTGAATGTACCACAAAAAATAAATAAACCAACCTGTGCGACGGGAAATCTTCTTAGCTTTCCAACCGTAGAGTCAGATCTTCAAAAATGTTGATTTTTTCACGGGAAAACCACGTGTAAACCTTTACAAACAGATTATCTCAAAACCTCTATCATTAAGATTTATTTTCAATACTCTAGATCGAAAGAAGAGATGAAAAGAAAATGAAACTTTAGATGAACAGTTTTAGATGAGCTTGCTGTGACAGCATGCTCTGCTCTACAAATGAAATCATCAAATAATCAAAATATAGTTCGTACGCTACGATGATGAACGAATCATTATAATAATGTTATGATATTACTCGATATATTTTGAATATTTTTTCGGTAATAAAATTGCTCTTAAAGATCATTAATTCCATTTTTTTTGTAAATTAATTCAACCTCGCTGCAATTCGTCATCATTTGAATAATTTTTCAAATTGATCGACATCGATTCTACGAATACGGTTTAAATATTTACATCTGAATACATATAGAGCTGTCCTCGAGTGTATCCTCATTACAACACAATATTATTAATTGGCGCCCGAGCAAACATATATTACTTTTAATCTCAACAAATACATATCGAGCATGTGCGTAAAGAACTCGGGCTGTTGTAACTACTACAGCAATTACAACTGATGGCTCAGTGAACATAATAACACATTCTCGTGCATGACTCGTGCTTCACGTCGCTTAACGTAACAACTCGCACGAACATGCACGGCAAGAACGAAGCAAGCGAGTACTAGGAAGATAAACTGAAAACAGTTTCTGGCAGTAGCGCCGTAAAACCCCCGAGCCACGCGTATACCCCCGAGCTGCGATACTCATGGAGTAGCGCTGCGAATTCACGGAGCAGCACTGCAAATTTACGGCGCTGCCGCCTGAACTGCTTTCAGTGTATACTGTATAGAGATGCACGAGTGCCGCGCGCGTGCTCAACTACTACCGACCACGTGTACTGTGTAATACAGCTTGAGAAATTGGCGCGTTCATCGTGCCATAGTGCCTGCCCGCCTATCTACAGTGAATAGTCACAACACACTTTTGAGCTGTCGAATGGGAGAGACACGCAGCGCGACTCGCAGACTCGGCCTTTGTTAGTCCGCTCAAAGCGAGGCAACGAGATACGTCGTTGATTTTGTGAAAACCAAGTCCAATTTCTAAGTCTATTCATCCATCTTCATCAGCAGCATGTCGAACAATACGTCATATACAGGTAAGGTTATACAAATTATATTAACATACATACACGGACTATTCCTCAACGTAGAGTGCCACGTACTCGATGGACAAAAATTAAATAAAAATCAAACAATTAATTCTTAAGAAAAGGCGAATCAAAATTAACTTCAATGCAATTTTGCCCATCGAGTGTGTGGCACTCGACGTCGTAGTCCCGCACGTATTTCCGTGCGTATTGTCTACGTATTTTCCTGTAGTTAGAATTTCGTCTTAGCTGCATTCTTTTTTCCATGTTGAAATTGTAGTTACTTGTCTATTTGCTAAATTGTAGATGAATTGTACCCGCGTGGATTTTTGTACAGTTTGTGTATGCCTAACAATCTAATATTAATCTACTTTTATTCTATTTATCTCTCTCTTCTAGTTGTAATCTAATTTTTTCGTATTTATTTTTTTCATAGGAAGAAGAACGAGAAGCATGGAAAATGCTCTCGACCCCGAGATCCAGGAGAATCTACTACGTGCACTGCGGCAACAACAGCAGGCACAGGGCGATCACCAGGAGGTACCTCCACAGCAGCAAGTGCCTCGACAGCACGAGCAGCAGCAAGTGCCTCTACAGCAGCAGGCACCACCTCAACAACCAGCACCTCCTCAACAGCCAGCACTTCCTCAGCCGCTGCAGCCATTATCGCTGCAATTTCAAGGCTCGCATCAGCAGCTGCAGCAATTGCCGCCGCAATTTCAAGGCCAGCAACAGCAGCCTGAAGCCATTCAATATTATGATAATAAGCGGCTTCAGCATGTCAGGAATGTGCAGCTGCAGTTGCATCAAATGCAGCAACAAATCATGCTGCCACCAACCCAACAGCAGCCTCAACAGTAAATTATGCGGTGGCAAAAATGGAAAAACTTCCGTTCAAAAATAATCGATATCGAGCCACGAGAAGCCTTCACACGATTCACACAGACACATTTCTCCCATATCTTCCCCCGATAATAATAAGTTTATTATAATCTTCATCGATGACTACTCGAGGTACGCAAAGATATATTGCGTTAAAAATAAAAGCGAGTCAGGGGACTGTCTCGAAGATTTTCTGAAACACATCAGAAACCTTTCAGACAGCAATGAGAAGGTATGCTATATTCGAGCCGATAATGACACAGAATTCACTGGAGGTAAGTTCGCAGAGATAATGGAAAAAGAAAGGATAAGTAGCGACTTTGCTACCTCGTATACGCCAGAATTAAACGGCATGGCCGAAAGGTTCAATAAGACCATACAAAAGAAAATTACAGCTATGATGGTTGATTCGGGCTTACCAGCGAGTATGTGGGTGTTGGCTGCAGAGGCAGCTACACTAGGGTGTACCCCTTTTTTAAATACTTCGAATAAAAAGAATAAAATAAAATATATCTTAGGAGCCGAGTGAAAAACTGTAAGATGGTATATTTTTGCAGGTCTGTGCACAACATGGGTGCTGAAATCAAAAATTTTCAGCTCGGAGTAGCACGAGGCAAATAAATACTAATGTGTAAATGAAAAGCTTTGCGATTTTTTTTCTCCCATAGGAAGGGTTTGGCGAAAAATTTTCTCTGAACAAAAAGTGCTTAATTTTGATCAAAAAATATGTGTGAATTTTTTCAGATTTTTTTGGACCATTTTTTGATTTTTGGAAATATTGACGAATGCCAAAAATCCAAAAATGGTCTAAAAAAATCTGAAAAAATTCACACATCATCGCCCCAGCGCAGGAAGGTATCTATTTCCAAGCTGCAGCAAGAAGGATACTTACTCGCGCGCAGAGGCAAAAAGGTATCTAACTCGAGCGCAGCGGCAAAAAGGTATCTAATTCGAGCGAGAAGCAAAAAAGTAGCTTATTCAAACGAAGTGGCAAGAAAGTTTTGACGCGCCGAATTTAGGTTGGCAACGGAGCCGTAAATGATAAAATTTTGTTTCAACATTCAACATTCAACATTCAACGTTTAATTCAAAGCTATATGTAAAGCCGATAACTTCTACTCTTCTCAGAACATAGAAAGTTCTCCATAAGAGGCATATTGAGTCGAAATCGCGGCGAGATTGATTTGTTTGCTCGCATTTAAAATAGATGAAACTCATTACACTAGCTCAAATGTTTTTCCTCTTTTTTGCTCTAATACAAAACAAAATTTTATCATTTACGGCTCCGTTGCCAACCTAAATTCAGCGCGTCAAAACTTTCTTGCCACTTCGTTTGAATAAGCTACTTTTTTGCTTCTCGCTCAAATTAGATACCTTTTTGCCGCTGCGCTCGAGTTAGATACCTTTTTGCCTCTGCGCGCGAGTAAGTATCCTTCTTGCTACAGCTTGGAAATAGATACCTTCCTGCGCTGGGGCGACGACATATTCTTTGATCAAAATTAAGCACTTTTTGTTCAGAGAAAATTTTTCGCCAAACCCTTCCTATGGGAGAAAAAAAATCGCAAAGCTTTTCATTTCCACATTAGTATTTATTTGCCTCGTGCTACTCCGAGCTGAAAATTTTTGATTTCAGCACCCATGTTGTGCACAGACCTGCAAAAATATACCATCTTACAGTTTTTCACTCGGCTCTTGAGATATATTTTATTTTATTTTTTTTATTCGAAATATTCAAAAAAGGGGTACACCCTAAGCTACACATGTCTATTGTCTACAATAGGACACCGCATAAAGGACTATCCTTTAAAACTCCAATGTCGATGATAAACGAGAACACATCTCCGAACCCTCTATAAAGAGCCACATCTCTGAACTCAAACGATTTGGATGTTTGAGCTACATAAAGATACCAGTAGCATAGAATAAATTTTCGAAGAAAGCAATCGTTGCATACTTAGTAGGACACACACCAACAAGGTATCTTATGTGGCATCCACAAACGAACAGGTTTATTACTTCGAGACATGTTCAGTTCAATGAAAAAGTAGTGTATCAAGATCGAGTTCGAGACCAAGAGAATGATACACAAACAAAGAAAATAATAGAACAGCTAGTCTTCGAGTCTGAACCAATAACGTTTGAGGCAAACAAAATCGATGAACAAATAGAGCAGGCAACTCCTGAGGTGATCGAGCCACCAAAAGGAAAAGCGATAACCACGAAGCGGAAAAATATACCGGAGCCACGAAGAATGCCAGAACGAAGAGCCAAGAAACAAAAGCTCATGGATCCGAATTTTGTGTACAAAGCCAAAGTACCAGAATTAAAAATTGATGACATCGATGTACGTTCAAACTTAGCAAAAATCAACAAAGACCCTGCGAGCTACAAAGAAGCCATTGAATCCGAAGATAGAGACAAATGGACAGCAGCAATCGAAGAAGAGTTAAAATCGATGAAAGACAACAACGTGTGGACGTTGATAGACAAACCTGAAAAGAATTTGAATGGACAAAAGCTGAACTTGATAGACTCGAAGTGGGTATTAAAAAGGAAAATCGACGAAAACGGTAAAGAAAAATTCAAAGCCAGACTTGTTATACGAGGATTCAAAGACAAGAATAGCTACGAATGAAAGGAGACGTATGCACCAGTCTCACGACTATCAACCATACGAACAGCATTGGCAGTCATCAACAAACTCGATCTTGAAGCAGTGCAACTCGATGTGAAGACGGCGTTCCTGAATGGAAATCTAGCTGATGAAATCTATATGGAGATTCCCGACGGACTGGAAGTATCGAAAGAAAAAGTATATAAGTTACAGAAAACAATAAATGGGCTAAAAATGAGTCCGAAGATTTAGAATCAGAGATTCACGATGGAAGCCAAAAAGCTAGGACCACACTAAAAAAATTCTGCTCACTAATCAAAACTAAATTTGGTTTGAAACATTGACCAAAATTTTGTGGATAGAATTTCAGTTCATGTTGGTATGTAATGATAGTCGATTTAGGCCAAGTTTTATGCGCGCGAAATGTTGTGCGTGTTGCGTCACCTATGTTGCGCGCGATCTGTGACCAACTTGCTAAACAACACCACACAGTTTCCATAGTCCTAACCGACCACCACAGTCTACTACGCATTCGGCATCAACAGCCCGCGCAAATTTTCTTTCTGTGACAGTGTGTATTGTTATAATATTATTATAGCAATTTTGTTAATATAACATCTATTAAAAGGTGAGTGACATGTAATCTAATTTTTGATTTGATTTTAGAAATCAGTGGTGTGCCATTAGTGGTGTGTATGTATTTGTTTGTGTCGTTTGCAGAAATTTAGGTTATTCGTCTGAGTGTTTAGTAACGATAAAGTTTTATAAAAATCTAATAACTGATTTAGATTGAATCAATTTGAGACACACCATAGACAGTGTAATACGCCAAAAAGATAAGTTCTAACAAAGTATGTTCTGTCAGATGGTACATTGAAATATGAAAATTCTTGAAATTGCAGCCCTTTTAGTAGTCCATTCTCCATAATATTTTTCACAATAGCTTTGCAGTTAAAAGAATTCTTGACTGATCATCGGCTGTATTAATATTGTATATTACTCATTATGTTAGCATACTTTATATTTGCAATTTAATAGTTGAAAAATCTTAGTCATAGCTCTTCAAACGTACAGTATCCTTTTTTAGCATCGATGAAAGTATGAAATGATTTAATAGATTTCATTAAAATTTAACTATTTGAACATGAAGGTTGAAACCTTGAATGTTTCATATTTGATTATTGGTAAAAGTTCAACAATTGAATATTGAAGAGTAATAAACTCAATTATTACATGTCGCTAGCACCAGTATTTGAAAGTAAATAACGCCTATTTAAACTTTCAATAAAATCAATAGATTGAATTAAAAAAACAATTTGTGAAATGCGTACAGTGTTCTTTTTTAGCATTGATGAAAGTTTAAAATAATTTTATAGATTTCATTAAAATTAAACTACTAATTGAACACGAAGGAAGAAACCTTGAATGTTTCATATTTGATTATTGGTAGAAGTTCAATAAACTCAATTATTACATGTCGCTAGCACCAGTATTTGAAAGTGAATAACGCTTATTTAAACTTTCAATAGAATCAATAGATCAATAGATTGATTTATAAAATAATTTGTAAAATGTTCAAGTTAGTCAGCTGATGAAAATGTGTTATTGACTGCCTCAATGATAAACTGTCATCATTTTAACTTCTCTAAGTAACAATTTATTTTCAACAATTAAAATGACTGTTTTGTATGTGAAATATACTTTGTTTTACTGTTTAACTGTCGCACCGGGATTTTTATTTTTAAAAACACAGTCGCATTCCTCATATTAATTGAAGCAACAGCAAAAAAAGGTATTCCAAAAAAAGGCTACCTAGCTAAAAAAAATCTGTTGAGACAAGCTGTTATTGTAATTTTGAACATAACCATTGACTGAATTTACAGGCTCAAAGTTGAATTTTGATTTGTGAAATTTTATTTTTTTTGGGTGAATATGTAGAATTGTTGGATCATAATTTATTTTTTAAATTTGATAAAGAATTAGAATCATTAGAATAAAAAAACATGTAAATTTCATAAAAATAAAGAAAAACTCAGGTTTTCTTTGTCCTTTTTATACTGTCAAATTGTGTCTATTACTTTGTCGATAACCAGGATTGAGCAAAGTTTTATTTTGCTCTTTCCATGAACTTATTTCAATTTTTTTCTAATTGAAAGATAAGAACAACTTCAATTTTGAACTTTAATGAACAATTTTTTCATTTTCTTCCCAGAATGGCAAAATAAAGTATCAAAAATAAAAATTAAACTTAGAGCTCTGTAGATCCATGAAGTATGGACTTTGGCTTTCAGGATTGTCATTTCTCAATGTACTCTTTAAGAGTACATAGTGAAAATTTTTATTTTTTGGCATATTACACTAGCTT